AAAAAAAAAAAAAAAAAAAAAAAAAAGAAAGAAATTAAAGAAAAACAGTTCAGAAGCCACTATACCCCCATCCCCAGTAACAACCTTGTTGGTACATAAAAGTAAAGCCAGAGACATTTTCTTTTTAAAGCATAAGTATTTAAGAAGAACGTAAACATTATAGAATTAATGAAAGAAATTAAAGGACTCTTAGTGCTTTTATTGTTTAGTGCTGCCACTCTATCCCTCCTTCAACAGACTCAGCAAAACTTGAGTCCTGATAAATCTAGCTTTTGGATTAGAAATTGAAATTACTCAACACATTTAGCCTTCTCTTGCGCCCTCTTCTGGTTTTAAAAAAAATTATTCCTCCTTATACACAGGTTTGTGTGCAATGGATCATAAAAAACCCACCTCAACAAATTCCGACTACATTTCAAAAATAGTCTAAGTTTTCCTAGATATTAGCATTTCCCATGTGGAAGCAACAGTATGGTGGCCAGGCTACACATGAACAGTTGTTCACCCCAAATTGTTTATAGACTGTCAAAATTACCAAGCCCTATCCTCACCCCCATCCCTTTCCAGTTAAGACGTATTTTGAGGAATGCCACCTTGAATGGTTCAGGAGCTGCTTCTATATGTAAAGGAGTCTTGCAAGAGCATATTAACCTTACCAATAAAATATAATTTTTCAATCTGTACAGTAATATTGCTTTATATTCCAATCACAGTAATACTTTCTCATCTTCAAAAGAAGATCCCATGTTAAAAGATTTAGTTATATAGTTCCTAACAGTTTTTAAACTGCTCCAAACCCTTAGAATTAAAGGCTTAATGCACGTTACATGTTCCCTTCTGTTGCATACTATGGCCCCCACCAGTCCCCAAAATGGAAAATCTGACACTCCAATTTCAGTCTTCAAGTTACATTAAGTCTGCAATAGGAAAGCAGTTAGTTTCTCTAACTTGTAATAACTGTTTGTATCAAATTTGAAAATAGTTTCACATTTTCTTACCACACTCTTCATAATCTGATTTCTAAGAAACCTTCATTTTTTGAAATCTGCATTATAAACTTTTAAGCTATTTTTTTCTCAAATATTTTCTAATTTGTCTTTCACCCCCAAATTCACATTTGTTAAAGTTGATAGGTTTTAAAATGTGAAAAACACCTTTCCCTTCAACACGGAAAAGTCTCATCCGAGGCAAGATGGTAGTGATCGAACCTCATGGATAAACCACTTCGGTTCACCCTTAAGGACAAGAAAGGGGTCAAAAAAACTCGCCCTTTCCCCCATCCAAATATTATTTTTTTCTAATCGCTCCCCTCAAAGACATTACTCAAGCTCAGAAGGTTGTGTTGGGTGGGGAGGAAGATGGAATAAGTTTCTTTCTTTCTTTTTTTTTGGTAGAAAATGAGCCGCTAGAAGGAAAGGGCCCAAGTGAAAGGCTCAGAGGCGGAGTCGTGAGCGAACCTGGCAGGAGATGAGGTTCCTGTGGCAGAGAAACTCGTGACCGGGGAGCCTGATTCCCGCTGGGTACCCCACCCGGCCTCAGGCACCGCCTCTACCCAAAATGAATCCCCCCGAGCCCCCCCCC